TGCTAGCAGACTTCATTGTAGAGCTCACTTCAGCCTATCTAAAAAGATAACTCGAGAAAAAAATGAAAACTTTGGATAAGAAAAATTGAAAGCTTTATGTTGATTGATTAGCCATGAACCACAACAGAGAGCTAGCCTTATTCCAAACAGCTCGAAAAGACTATAGTATCCATACATCTTAAGAATTAAGTTCAAAGCATCTAACAATGAGGTAGAGTATAAAGAATTGATAACTGGTTTAAGATTGGCAACTAAGCTGAATGTCTAATATATAATCACGTATAATGACTCTTAACTAATGGTCAGTCAAATAAATAAAGAGTTCAAAGCTCGAAAAGATGAAATTCGATAATACCTAGATAAAGTGTTAGCCTTAGTGGTTGAGGTAAAAAAAATATTGACGTCGAAAAATTTGCTTGCAAACTTCTTATCTGAGTTGGCCTTATAAATAACAATAAAAAGTTCAAACCAAGTCTTGGTAGAAGAGTTGACACATAAAGTACCAAGGATAAGCTCATAAGATGGATCATAGAAAAAAAATCTAGATGACATTGATCAAATTGTATCTAACTACAAGAATACTATTCGACGATAAAATCTGAGCTAAAGTATTGATGAGAAAAGCTCTTCGATATACGATGATTAAGAGAAAATTATGTAAAAGATTTTTTAGTCTGCCTTGTTTAAGACGAATAAAAAGTAAATTACGTCCTGCAAGAAATTCATGAAGGAAAATATGGAAGCCACCTTAGATATTGACTATTAACCTACAAAGTGCTTAAGCAAGATTATTATTGGCCCACTATAAGAAAGGATGCAACCAAACTAATAAAGAGATGTGATATGTGTAAGAGGTTTACTCACGTGTAACATCTCTCATCGACCAAGCATAACCCTATCATCAGCCCATGGCCCTTCATGTAGTGGGAAATAGATATCCTCGAACCATTCACCTCGGCCATGAGTCAGAGGATATTTATCTTAGTAATAGTAGATTACTTCATGAAATAGCTTGAAGCTGAAGCCTTGGCCACTACTATAAAGGTCTAAGTGGAAAAATTTATGTAGAAGAATATAGTCTATAAATTCAACTTACCTCAGTCTATAACAACAAATAATGATAAATAATTTAAAAATCTGAGATTCAAGGAGTGATGTTTAAACCTCTATATCGACTTGAAATTCACATTAGTTACCCACTCCCAATCCAATAGATAGGCCAAAGTGGTGAATAAGACAATATTAAAAGCCCTGAAGAAGAGACTAGAAGCAGCAAAGGGAAAATGGGCTGACAAACTACCAAAGGTGTTATCAGTCTTAAGGATGGCCATCAAAGTATCAACAGGGGAAACCCCATTCCATCTGGCATTTGAAATAGAGGTCGTGGTACTTGTTGAGATCGACTTTTCAAGTTTAAGAGTCGAATTAGGGTTAGAAGAAGAAAATGAAACAGTGCTTAAGGCTGACCTAAACCTATTTAAAGAACAAAGAGACATAATTCTCACATGGATAGCAGTTTATTAGCAAAAGATGTCCAGTTATTATAATAAAAAGGTTTGACATAAGCATAAAGAGAAAGACGGCTTGGTACTTAGAAAAGTTTAAGCCTTAGGAGTAGATGATTGAGTAACAAATTAGCCCCAACCTGGGAAGGACATATGTAGTTAAAGAGATCATCCATGACATTACTTATAAACTACAGAATATGAATGGTAACGTCATCCCAATGAAGTGGAATACAAATAACTTAAAGGTCTATTATCAATAGCTCGGTCTAAATCAAGTTCACACTTGTACTTTGTACTTGAATACAAAAATCAAATTATGTTTAATGAGCTCACAAATAACTAACCTAGCATAATCTGACCCGGCACTTAGATGAATTCTCAAGTTAATTTAATTCGAGTGATTAAGTAAATCTTCAATTCATTTAATTGGGCTTAAACTTTTTTGATTAACTGTGCTTAAACTTGTGCAAATAAAGAAAAAAATTATAATAACAGAATTAAGCTAAAGCTTGGACTGAACTGAATAAAAGTTTTATTTGATTTTTTATCAAGTACAAAAGTTGTTAACAAATAGTTTGTCAAGTAGGTTATTCCAATCCGAGGTCATTATAAAAACAGACCTCATACATTAATAAAAATTTACAAAAGTTAAAAATAAAAAAAAAATCATGTGTCAATAACATCATCATCAGTAGCAGCATCCTTATTAGTAGGAGTAGCAACGATGAGCTATTCCACCTCGTACTTGGGCTCCAGAGCTACCTCATTGAGTTGATTTAGAGTAGGCCTCGATTTGACATTATTGATATCAATATCAAAGAGATTGGGGTTAAAGTGGGAAAACTTAAATTGCACATCATTTTTGGCCAGGCTAAAGGCACCAAGTACATTTTTCTTGGAGAACTCTACTTTTAGCTTGAGTAATTCATTAGAAGCCTTAAACTTCTCAATAATTTTTTTTTTTTAAGATCTTTTCCTTTTCTCTCCTTGGCCTCTAGCTTAGACCTCAGCCTCATTATCTCGGCCTAAGCATCATTGAGTTTGTGCTTAGTCTGCTCCCTTATAGACTCGACTGAGGTTAAAATAAAAATCATTAAGTTAGATAAAAATCAAGTTAAAATAAAATTCTATGAGATTATCTTAAACCTACCCTAATATTTTATCTTATTTATTACTTTGAAGGAAGTTAGCCTATGGCCATCAATAATGAGTTCCCCATCTATGGGTGTACTCCATTATTTTGTCTCAATTTGATAGATTTAGGATGAGAAAAGCCACTGATGTATCCACAAAAATGTTAGGCACATTTATTATTTTTCATGCCTCAACCTCGATATTACCTTCGACCTCGGTCGCACTATCTTTATTTATTTTTTCTTTTTGAAGGCAAAGGAAGAATAGTTTTTAATTCTTTGTTGAGCTTGAAAAATTGACGAACAAATTTTGTTAGGTTGAGCTGTTACATAATACCATTTCTTATCACTAGGGTGCATTTTAATAGAAAAGAATTTCCTGAATAGAGAGTGAAAAAAATGTTTAGATGTTGACAAAGAATAATGAAAGTAACTATATATGTACAAAGTTTGGAGTGAGCTGTGTGATAATGAAATTATAAGAATTAAAAATTGAAACAAACAAATAATGAACAAGAAACCTCAAACCAGTTACGAAGGAATCCCAATATCCATAGAGCTGATGTGGCTCTAATTAATCAGTAATCCAGTCTAAGGAGTTTACATTATTATACTATACCTCTCTCTGGGAAAAAGAAAGGTCATTGTTAGAGCATGGACGTGATAAGCTAAACATATGTTAAGACAATCTTTAGGAATTACCCTACCCTTTAGTTTGCTTATCACGTCTTTGGATATCATACCGAGGTCATAGGGTGTACATACAGGACCCCGACCACTTTTTCTTACTTTACGTGATTCCCTTTCTCATCGTCACTTTTTTTAGTCGAAGAACTCGCTTCTTTTTGTTCCTTTTTAGAACCTTTATAATCACCAGAATCTTCACTACAAGAAGATTATGACTATTGAGCAGGAGCAAGATTTTGAGGCTAAACCGTGGTTGATAGCAACTCAACTTTGAGAGAAAAAAGACAACGTGGAGACCCCTCAAGAGAGGAAGTGATTTCAATAAGAACTGATCAAAGGGGAATAGAAGTGACAAATGGAGCATCGATAGGTGGAAGATCATAAGTAAAAGAAAATTGATGTAATTGAACCTTAAAAGGAGGAACAATAAAAAATGAAGGAAGGTTAGCCATAGAAAATAGATCAACTTGAGAGATAAAAAAAGATGATGGATTTTGTAGGTCAAAGTCTATCTAAGTACATAGTTCCTCTGTGTTTAGAACTCGTGCTCCTTTTGCCTTAGTATTTTCTTCATTTTGTGGCTAGCTTTACTTGGACATCGGGTTGAACCAGAAGGCCATCATTTGATAATCACGACCTTTAATGACTTGCGAAATCAAGTCATATTCGTCTTGCCTAAGCTGACACCCCTAGGTTCTACCCTGAAAACTCCTTAGAACTTATACTAGAAGACATTGTTAAAAATATGTATTGAAGAAAGAGAAAAAAACTTTAAAGCTAAAAGGCTTTTGAGATTGAAAAATTTAGATTAGGTTGAGAGCAAAGAAAGCAAAAAAGTGAAAAATGAAAACCCTAATAGCCCTTTATATAGTCATGCCATAGATCAGATGAATGGCACAAACCATGTCACGTGTAAAAGCGAAGATGGAAAAACATCTTTTCATCTTCCCTTTTTAAATTCTTTTGCTCAGACTACTTCTCCTTCATTTAATGCTGTCAGATTGGTCAAACTGGACAAATTTTAAGTTAGATCAACCAGATCGGACAACCCTTTAGGACAGACTGAAGGCCTAATTCGTCACCAAAGTTTAAAATAGAGACTCAAATCCAAACTCTTGAAATAAAACACAAATCTCACGTTGACCAAACGAATTCCACCATTAATGTCATACCACTCCGAACAATTAACACATCAACAACCTTCAAGCCGGTTATGCACTCAACCTAAAACATATACGCGATATCATATCTTTATCAGGTCAGACCACAACTCAAGGTTATTTATCTCTTAATACCAATCTCCTCTATGATGTCAACTTCGAAAAACTAAGTTTCACATCATCTTCCTTTACCTACTTGGTCTACATAGAGCGTACTGATCATACATCCAATAATTTGATACTTAGACTGCTAGATAAAGATAAAATGTTAAAGACATTTAATGGTAAAAAAGATATAATGATCTTTTTTTCTATTAAAAACTTTAAGCAAATAACTAAAAGTAATTTTGACATCTATATCGACTTAACATTCATATCAATATGATACACATGATATCACATCAATTTGATATTATTCTTATTATACCCTAACGATCCCCTATTATTATCTATAAATATGAAAGTACAAACATGCAAGTTTATACTTCTCTTATTTCTTTTTATTACTCATATTTCGATTTTATCTATTTTGATTTGCGTGCGGAAATACAAACACAAAAATTATTTTTTAATTTTATCTTTGATCATTGTTCTTTTCTATATTTACAAGAATATTTTAATTCTATATTTACAAAAATAGCCTGAGATTATAACTCGCCACAAACACTTTTAAATGACGAAGTTTATTCAAATTATACAGACATACCTTTCCAAGATTCCGAGGACCAAAATTAAACCTAAAACAAACCCCTTAATTGAAACCTCATTCAACAAAACCCTAACTTCCCAAACCATCAAGGTTTCGAATTCATAAACCTTGAAGAAAAAGAGCCAAAATCTTCGAATATTCACAAGAAAAAGTAATGGATTTCGACGAGTACGAGTATTTGGAAAAGACCGTGGAGGAGCAGGAAGATCCGAAGAAGAAGAAGAAAAACGGAGGATCGGGGGATAAGAGCGAGAGAAAATATGGGAAGAGAGATGCCGAGAGGGGGGAAGATGCTGATGAAGGCAAGAGAAGCAGCAAGAAATCGAGAGGCGGCCGCGATGAGGACGACGATGAGAGGCGAGATCGTGATACGGATCGGCATAGAAGCAGCCGCGATAGAGAAAGGGAAAGGGAGAGAGAGAGGGATAGGGACAGGGATTTAGAGAGGAGGAGTAGTAGCGAGAGGGAAAAGGAAAGGGATAGAGAGAGGAGAGATAGGGATAAGGAGAAAGAGAGGGATAGAGAGAGGAGAGAGAGGGAAAAGGAGAGAGAGAGGAGGGAAAAGGAGAGGGAGAGGGAGAGAGAGAGGAGAGAGAGAAGCAGCAGTAGGCCGAGGAGGCACGAGAGTGATCGCGAACAAGAGAGGGAGTGGGAGAGAGAACGTGAAATTGACATTAGAGATAGCAGGTACCCTTTTGTATATTTTTTTTCTAAGCAAATTATATGTGCAAAATTTTCAGAGTGAACTATACGTGGTAAATGAATTTTTCGAGCGCCAGTTTGGAAGTTTTGGTGTGTTTAGGCCGATTGTAAAGATGACTAGAAGAGTGCTAAGTTCAATTAAATAAATATTTCCATTGTGTTTTTATAATCCAATTGTGTTGTCTTTGACATGAATCATGATCTAAGTGATTTCAAAAACTTGGTGGGGGTAATCATTGTTGAGTTTTCCCCTTGGGGGTTGAAGTTCATACTATTTTTTATGTTTCAGAATTTGTCTATTTGATTAGTTGATCATGAAAGAAATGGGTGAGAGGGCTTGTTAGTTGTATGCATCCTTTAGAGTTATAGAACTATTGTGCCATTTGGATGGACTTTTTTTTTATGAAGTGGTTTTGGTGATATTCTAAATTATCTAATATGTATGTTGTAGGAGATTTAAAGAGAAGAAAGAAGTAGTGGAGCCTGAAGCTGATCCTGAGAGGGACCAGAGAACTGTTTTTGCTTACCAGGTAGATGCATTGCCCTTTTTGCTTTCATCTTCAAAGGATTATGTAGCATAAATGTTAAACTCATTTGTGTTCAAACATGCATTTTTTTCTTTTGCACTAATGTTTGATTACCGTTCACCTTGATTTGGTTGATGACAGATGCCTCTAAAAGCAACTGAAAGAGATGTCTATGAGTTCTTCTCAAAAGCTGGCAAGGTTAGTTAGGTTTAACTTTGGTTATTTTATTTCTTGTGTGAAGGTTGTACTATAATTTGTCCACCATAGCTTTCAAGTGTGCCAGGATTCCACATTAATTGGTTTGGGAAAAAAATTAATGAAATGGTTTTGAAAATTTGAGGGTACATTTGAAATACTAGGTTTATTTCCATTAGAATACTCATTTTTGAGATTTCTAGTATGTACTATGTAGCAATATCATTTTGAATAGTCTGCAATATTTCTTCAAATTCATTTGCATCTTTATATGTTTGTGATAATAGCTATAAGTTGATGCATAAAACAATGTTTAGAATAATATGAATGGTTATTTTTGAGATACATCTGCTTCCTCTTGCAGTATGTGCTCCTCTGCCTTCAGTTATGAGTAGTATTATGACTTTCTTGTGTCCCTACATACTATGTATGTGGGGTGAGTTAAAAGCACATGTGCTAAAGAATTCAGTCTTGCAGACACCTCTTGATAGGTGTTTCATCATGAAGCTTGAAAGTTTGGAATCTCCCTGTATATTTAAGTTTTTGAGGTTATTATTTTCTGTTTGATCTCATACTTTTGTTTCCGTTTATCATTTTCAGGTGAGGGATGTGCGGCTGATCATGGATAGGAATTCAAGACGATCAAAGGGAGTTGGGTATGTGCCTTTATGTTGAGCAAAGTTATACTTTTGTAGTCTTGTGAAATAAGTATTAGCATCTTTGCTTTCAAGAATCAAGTTTAACTGTATTCTTAAATGCACTAGCAATGCGATAATGATGAGGAATGATGGGAATAGCACTCATGTTTAATCAATTCATGCTGCGTTCACAAGGTAGATGACATAAACCTAAATTTTTTCTTCCCACCTCTCTTCTGCTTTGAATTTTCTTTGCACTAAAGGCAACTGATAAACATGGGTACCTTATTCCAATTCTTAACTTCTTAGTGGTTCTGATAAGGATTTAATGATACTTCATACAGTTTAATCTGAAATTATTTTTTCGTAAAGACCTAACACTCACTGGCTAGGCCTTTTCTTTTTTTCTAATATACTCTGTTTCAAATTTTTTTGTTGTTGAGGTTGAAAAGGGAGGGGGGGAGGTTGGTTCATCTTTGATTTTGGTAGTTTTCTGGGTTCATTCTGATATCTTAGTTTTATGACTATAATCTAAGCTATACGGTGGTATGTTCCCCATAATTTTTTTTTTCTTTTGATATTGAAAAGGACCGCCCAATACTTTAACCTCCTTCTCAAGTCCTTTTGTCTTGTTTCATTATCATGGTGTATGGTATCTGTTCTGCTTTTGTAATCTTGTTATGCTGAGCTAACATTTTTTTATCACATGAGACATCAGATTCAACAAAAGATACTCAACATGAGCTCTCTGCACTACAGTTTTTCTTTCCCTACATCTCTTTGCTATATGCTTTGTAAGTTTTGGTTGTAATTTTTTTCTCCTCATATTTTCAGAGAAACTAATTAAAATCACTGATAAAATTGCAGGTATATTGAGTTTTATGATGTGATGTCTGTGCCAATGGCCATAGCATTGTCTGGTCAACTGCTTCTTGGCCAACCTGTTATGGTTAAACCATCAGAGGCGGAAAAAAATCTTGCTCAGTCCAATACTTCTGGTGCAGGTGCAGGTGGTGTTGCTGGACCATATGGTGCTGTTGATAGAAAATTGTATGTGGGGAACTTGCACTTCAATATGACAGAAATGCAGCTTAGACAGGTTAGGATCATTAGCTCATAAGCAGAAATAGAAGTTACATTCTTTGATTTGGTTTACAAATAACTGTTAATGATTTATTTTTTGATGTTCTCAAAACTTGCTTTTCAATTGCTGACTGGATTGTTAACTTTTTAAAAGAAAAGTTGTGGATGAAGCGTGTTCTAATTAATAGTAATTGCTTAGGAAAGAGTTTGAAAGGAGTTTCATGAATGTGTTTTAGATGCTTTTTTTTTCTTTAACCTTTTTCCATTATTGATATTATCCAGTTTTATTGTTATCTTTGTTATTATTTAAAGGTATATGATTTTCGTTTCAAACCTTTTTCTCATCTTGATGTTAATGGCTCAGATATTTGAACCTTTTGGTCCCGTTGAGCTTGTACAACTACCACTAGACCTTGAGACTGGGCAGTGCAAAGGTTTTGGATTTGTTCAGGTTAGTTATAATTGAAGACTTGAGTTTATAATGTTTATTTTCCTGTATAATAATAATTATGCATGTACTTGTTTGTTGTTCCTTCTCTACAGTTTGCTCAACTCGAACATTCCAAAGCAGCACAAAGTGCATTGAATGGAAAACTGGAGATTGCTGGTCGAACCATTAAAGTAGGCTTGCTAATTTCATGAGCTTGTAGCATTATGTTATTGTAGTCTAATTTCTCTGTCAGTTATCTGTGTTTGTTCTTCTGCTATAACTGCCTTTTTATTGTGGTCTTCCAAATTAACATCTTTGTGGTTATGTTTGTGTATAGGTTTCATCTGTTACGGATCATGTTGGTACCCAAGATACTGCAGCAAAATCTGCTGACTTTGATGATGATGAGGGTGGTGGCATGGTGAGCTGAAGCACATATTATTATAGTAGTATTTTTATGATGTTGGTTTTTATAGATTTGTTCCTAGTTTGCTTCATTCTAATAGTAGTTCTAAGGAAGTGGAATTTTCTTCTTTCTTGCTTTTCTTGCTGCTTAATTGGCTCGTGTATCTCTTTATCCAGGCTTTGAATGCTCAATCAAGAGCATTGCTTATGAAGAAACTGGATCGCTCTGGTATGGCAACAAGGTTGGTTTGTACTTTCAAGTAGTCCTTTCCAGTTGAATCATATAATATATCTAAACAATAGTTTTGCAGCATTACGGGCTCCCTTGGAGTACCCCTCCTTAATGGGTCAGCTCCAAATCCACAGGCTGTTACGCTACCTGTCAATGGCCTAGCTGCATATACAATTCCAATTCTACCTCCAATCATGTCTACTACAGGCCTTGATCCTATTGGACAGCCTAGTGAGTGTTTGTTGTTGAAGAATATGTTTGATCCTGCTACTGAGGTTAGTATTTTTTTTATTCTAAACATTCTATTTCCTTGTTACTTTTTGTCTTCTTTCTTTTTTACTTCCTTGTACGAGGTAGTGATTCTCTAAGTTCTATTGCAGACGGAACCAGATTTTGATTTGGAAATTAAAGAGGATGTCGAAGAAGAGTGCAGCAAATATGGCAGGGTGAAACATATACATGTGGACAAGTAAGAATTACATTGTCTGTTGCATTAGATAAGCTATTAGTTTACAACCATTTTTTTGTAGTGGCTTCATATTATGCTGTCCAAATGTGGATAATGTACATTTTATAGCTATTTTTATTGTTTATTAATAAACAGCAAATGGTCTATCTATGTTAACAAGGGGAAGTGCTCTCAATCTATGCTTTTTTCACTTGACTTGATAACACTGTTAATCTATAGATCACTAATTGAAGATGTATTTTGGATGGCTATCATTGGAAGGAACTGTTAAGTCTAGTGACATATCAGTACTCTTTCTTTCTCCCTCTCAGTCATTTGTGCCTTTGGATTGCAGATATGCCTTACCTGCGTTCTTTTATATAAGAATATATGGGAAGACTATCTATGGATTTTGATACTGAAATCTGCATCCTTCAATTAGATGCTTTATTGACTGGAAATATAGGACTATCAATGCAAGGGGGAGGCTTACAATTTTTACATCCAATAATCTGTCTGTATTGTTTGGAGAAACTATTTAGACATACATGTGCAAGTGTGTGGTGATTTTGTATGTTGTGAATGTTGTAGTATTTAACCTTTTTTGGCTACAAGGTAGGCATTTACATACTTCCAACGGCCATCTCAACATGCTTGACTAGCATCTTTGGTTGCCCAATCAATGACTAATGACATCTTATTTTGTAATCTAAAGCTTTATTAGGCTTTATCAGTTTCAACTTGTCAGATTTCCCAATTCATTTTTATTAAATATATGAAAATTGTTATGAACTTCTTTGAGGAAAGAAGGCTTTGCTTTGCCTTTTCCCAACTGCAGTTTAAGGCAAAATGTTTTTCCTTGTAACACTTTTTCATCTTTCATACAGAAACAGTGCTGGTTGTGTCTATCTTCGATTTGACTCTGCAGAAGCAGCGTGTAAAGCCCAACGTGCGATGCACATGAGATGGTTTGCAGGCCGATCAATATCAGCCATATTTATGGTAAATGCGATTTCCACCCTAACATTGGTTTCTGTCTGGCCCTTACTGACTTTCTAAGTTGTTTAGCACATATAAAGCACCTATAAGGGTTGTAAGAAGATCGGGTAAAGTTTATCAGTTCATTATCCTGCCATGGTAGGCCAAGCAGGCTTTTGCCAGCAAGTTGTTCAAATGGAACTATTACCGTTCAATATGCCGATACCTAGAATCCTGTCAGCATACATTGAACACATGATGAAACACGGAATTAGCAGATCTGTTATAGTTAGATTCAGTCTAGTATGTTTTCTGGTGTTCTCTTTGTTACAGGTCTGTTTTAGTTGAGTAGTTTTATCAATTAACTTTTCATGATTTCTTGCAGCAACCCCACGAGTATGAAGCGAGGTTTAAAGGTTGAAGTTGAAGAACAGCTTTCAGTCGCAGGATCAAATTTAGGATATTTCTAATGTCCGGATAATGGTAGGTTTATTTCTGAATTCATTTTGTCCTGAGTTTAGATTTTTTTTTTTTTTTGTTTTAAATATCCATACACAATGACCTAAAAGTAAGATGTTGCTATTTGTTTACACTTTTTCTGATTCTGTAATTTGCAAAATGAACCTGCAGTGCCTTGTAATTGGTCGAATTTAATTGTTGTTGGCAATTTCTCCTTGGCCAATGCCGTTACCACCCATAAATATTCAACCTTCTTGCCATTTGTTTGCCCCCCTTTGATTTTTCTGTCTAATTTTACCAAATTAATTTGTGAATTTACTTTAACATCCTTTTATAAACATATTCGAGGGAAATTCTCTTTTTATATGGAATAACATAAAACAGATAATACCAATCATTCATACATTTGAAAAACCAGTAACAACAATCATACATTTTGTCTCCATGGAACGAATGGATTTAGGAAAGTGAAAATTCTTTTATTATTAATAAATATTATTTGTTTATGCATGTAAATGTATTTTTAAAAATGTTTTTTCTCCTTTGAAAATAGAAAATTAATGGAAATAATAATCAATTGTAGGGTTGTCAAATCCATTTGAATCTCTCGAGTTTTGACTCAATTTGATCTTAATAGTTGGTTTTTTTTTTTTATCAAGTTGGTATGGGTTTTTTTATTTTTTCTTGTAATGTTGGGATTAGTTCAGAGTCCAATTTCAGATAAATTTGTTATAACTTGATTCAATATATATATATATATATATATATATAATATTTTTATTATTTATTTAATTTTATATTAATATATGTGTTATATTAGTAAAATTATTTTGTAATATTTTAATTTAAAATATTAACTTAATAAAAATATTATATTTATGTATAATTAAAATATAATTTATATTAAAAAATAATATTTTATAAATATTATATTAAATTAAAATTATTAAATTAATTTTGATAGATTATGATTATATATATATATATATATATATGAATTATGATTATATTTTTATTATTTATTTAATTTTGTTCTCATTATTTTTTTAAAAAAAATTTGTTCTCATTTTGCATCTATAAATTAATGCGATTCTTGTGTGTAGCAAGAGACTATTTCGCCCAATTTTTCTTGGTATAATTATATATGTCAACTTCTATTGGTCCATATGTTGATGGACTATTGTGTATCAAGCGTAACATGTCTCAATTTTTTTTTAATAGATAAAAATTTTGACTTATCCAATTTTGTGTAATGCACAGTATAATTTATTTTGGTAGTTAAAGTTGACGATATTTAAAATTTTATTACTAAAATTAATATTTCAATATTCTACTAACAGATGTTATATTGTTGACATGATTTATTAGGATATTCAAGAAAGTTAATATTATATCATCAAACTTTTAATTCAAAGTTTTTTTTTTTTTTATATTATCTCAATTGAATGCTAATTTCATAAAAATATATGTATAGTTATCAACAGCAAAAAAATTAATTTAGCATTAAACTTTTTATAATCTTAACAAAAACCCAAAGCCATATACATTATTCTTAATTTTTTTTTATCATTTCGCCATTAAAAATTAATTTGAAATAGATGGAGTTTTTTATACAAGAATGGTTGTTATATATGTATTCTAAATTCTAATTTTATATATGTCATTAACATGTTTCTTACATTAATTCAGACTAGTAATACTATTATGTTTGTTATAAAATCCTTCAAAGAGGAACTTCGTTGGTTACAATTTAAAATTTTATTTTAAAAATTTCGAATTAAAATTTTTAGATGAGCAAAATAAAATTATTGCACGAAGGGTGTTGATTCGGTGTTACCGAGTTTAGCCGAAGGTCAAATTCCGCCATTGAATTTTTTGTTTACAACCAATAAATTCAATTATGATACTCATAAATTAGAAAAAAAAAAAGGTCGAATAAGAAAAGCAAAGCACAGTAGTAGGTGAAATAAAATGTGAATTTGAAAGGGGTACATATTTCTTGGATAAAAAAGTGAAAGAGAATGGGCTTAAATCCTAAAATGTTAGAGGAATATGCAGGCTAGGCTGGGCTGAGCTTAAGCAAGATGGGCATTAGCCCTTGTGAACTGTGATGGAAGAGAGCGGTTCAATTGGCCTCAAGAGCGCGACCACAGAGAAAGAGACGACCTTCTCTCACTCTCTCTCTACTGTGGAAGTGCAACTGAATTTCGTCAACTTCAGACAGAAAAATTCGTTGCAGTACAAGCCACTTCGGCTGAAAAAAAGTGTTTGCTTTCAGTTTCGGTTTCACTGTATTGCTTTGTAAATAACGGTAAACCCAACATACCCAAAACTTCTTTTTGTGTTTTTGATTGGCTTGTTTATGATGTTTTAATTTTTTATTCGGTGGGAGCCGAAAGGCAATAATAATAATAAAAAAAGGCAGATGGATAGGTAGCGGAGGGTGGAGAAGCCAAAAGCAGAGACTCCCATAAAAGAAAACGGAATCAGGATAACACCTCAAGGCAGAATGAATAATTATATTACTTATGCCACCATTCTCCTCCAACTAATTTACTATTTCTTTTATTTATTTATTTATTTCTCTTCATATTTTACTTTGTTTGAAACAAAAAATATGTTATATATATATATATATATATTTTGGGATGAAATGAGTACTAAAAATTTCTGCTTTGAAATTTGCCTTGTGGGAAAAAACAAAGCTTGTTACTAAAATTCCTTCATGGATATAAAACTTTGTATTTGCTCTGGTTTTTGTTGTTTTTTACTTTGTGTGCTGGATTTGTCATCATGTTTTCTTGACCGTTGTTCAATTTTTATTGATGAAGTATGCATTCTTTGTAGAAGAAAGGGTCCAGTGAGATTGTTGCAGAGCCATTAATAAGACTGTGAAGATTGCAGAGCTAATCAAGTTATATTGAAGATGTCTTTCTCTCTTTCACAGTCACTCTTCTCAAACACATGTAAACAAGTAGGTATGCATAGGTCATTTTTCTTCATTTATATCAAGTTTCTGTTTTCAGAGGAGAATTGCTGATCTTCATCAGAATACTTCCATTGGATCAACCGATATAAAAGATATTTGGGAACCACTAGAAGAAGGCCTCCTTCCATATGAAACAGCAGACTCTTTTATGCTACTAAGTTCTTGCAATGCCTTGTTTTAGAGCATAGGAATCACGATGATTGGTTTTCTGTCTTATTACTGTCTGGAGACTACCTGTCATCTATCGATGATAACCATGACATTATCAAAGAAGGAGCTGGATACATCCTCCACTGGGTATATAACTGAGAACTAACTTTTATTTGCGTTTGAAACAAAATTAGTGTCTGCCCCCACTTATTTTTAATTGTATAGAAGATGGTAGTTAAATTTCCTTCTTTGAACTTAGACATACAAAGGTGCACTTATGGATGGTGACCTCTTGTCCCTTGTTTTTGTTTTTATACGAGGAACTTTCCCTTTCTTGTTGATGACAAAGATGCACTTATTTTCTATATTTCATTTAGAGATATTGAACATGTTTGAGCTTTTCTATTCTTCGGTTTTGAACTGAGACTCTTAGGTTATATCTAATTACTCTTAAAGTGCAGATATCAATCTCCTCTTCCGGCTGATCAAGTGAAACCCTTAAATGAATTTGAAGATGATGGGGGTAAGCAATCTTTTGTTGTTTTAATGAACAAGCACTTATCAAAAGAAGGGGAAAAAAAAAGAGAATGTATTAGTAATATCTAATATTTTGATATCATCTAGCTCCAGTGGCTTCACCAAGGACACAAGGAAGGAGACGAGATGGTCAAGAAAGGGTTGGGGGTAGAGAAATTTCTTACTACTCTAAAATATAAGGTTTTCAATTTGAATATGTCAACTTTTCGTTTACCTTTACTAATTATATTCAGAATAATTATCACATAAGCAATCTACTTGCCCTAGTGGTGCATCTAATTACTCCTTTTTGTGCTCAGTTCATGTGAAAATCTTGCATCTACTTTCCTTTTTCTTTGGCCATTATATATTGTTTTATTTTGGTTTTATTGTTGCATTGATCTTTGAATCTTTGCATCCATCTCTTTCTAGTTTGTTGACTGTATGTGCACTTTCTGGAGCATTTAAATAATTAAAACAAGAAAGAAAATTCTTGTTTCTCTTCGTCACTCTTTGAAACTTCAATGGAAGTTCCTCTGATCAATTGCAGCACTTTTGAAGCCATCATGTTGTGTACTGTTGTATAACTTAGTAAATATGCTCACTGGATGTGTTCTGCCTCTTTGATGGGTACAGGAAATTATGGTGGAGTAGGGGAATATAATGGTGATGGTTGGAATGGTGGGTGTAGTTTTGGTGGCAGAGGTTGAGGACATGGAAAAGGTCCTTTCCGGGGTCGAGGACGATACTATGGTGCTGGAGGCACTATGTCTATGACTATGGTGACTCCGATGCACCGCATGCCCAATGTCATGGTAAGTTTGTGCTTTTAGACGTATTTGTTCACCGCTATCTTGTGGAACAGTGAGAAATGAATGTTTGGCTTTTATATCTTAAAAAGTGGTGCAGATGATTTTAATGCTTAAGTTCATCTTTGAGCTGTAAAATAACAAGGTTAACTAACTACCTTCTGGGAAATATGCTGGCTAAGCATTAACAATTCATCACATAATTTGCACTGTATATTTATGCGAAACGGTATTTTAGTTAAAATAGTTGGAATATTCAAGGACTTTGCTGTTTCTTTTGCTTTCTGTAGTTGTGTTCAGCATTGAACCATTGACTGGTATAAACTATCTACCTACTTGCCATAAACCACCTTTTCAAAATTTTCATTTGCTGAAATGCGATTAAATGAGCAAATGATACCATTGGTATAATGAAGAACATGCCATTCTCACAGGCAAAATCAGGCTTATCCCAAAGATCTGCAAAGATCAGACACCTAATATTTTATTTTTCATATGACATGCCATCACTTTCCAACATGTAACAGCTTTATATTAGATTGTATTGATGTTTGTTTGTTATACTTTCTAATGTCGCTGGCACTATATGATTTCCTTTTCATCGTGCTTGCATTGCTGATCATAGGTTTGTTTAGTCATGGGAGCTAATATTTGTAAAATAATTTCAACTTTTGCAGGCCATGGCCATGGCAGGGGAAGGGAGGGCTGTGGGCGCGGTTGTCATATCTGTTCGGATGGCCCGGTCCAAGCAAACACCGCTTGAGAAGCAGACATCTTGTAGTAGTTGTGGTGTCGAACATGATATGTGGATACCTGCTCTGCTTGCGGCTTGATGAAGTTGACAATACTTAAGGGAAATTGTCGTGTTTCAAGCAGCGAAATTATTACAGCCATGGTGCTTGCAGTTTTGTCATTTCTAATTGTGGTGTAGGAATTTTTTTTTCAGTGATTCTGACAAAGTCTTTATTCTTTTCAACCCCTAGAAAAAGTTGTACAAATTTACTCTTTTTTATAGGAAATAAAGAGAGCAGTACATTCTTTTATTCTTAAAAGTACATTTGCATGCAGGTAGTTGCTAATGCTACTTCCTTTGTATTATTCACTTCAAAAAAAAAAAAATTATTTGCCGGTAATTCTATTTGATACATTCACTTTCATGAAACTTGAAACCCAAATTGAACCAATCAGAACATTGCCCTAAACCTAAAAAATGTTGAATGAATTCAACAGGAAACTGTAAAAAAAGACAAACCTTTTGCTATTAAAAAAATGGGTGAAGATACGTGGTGATTGGAGTTTGATTTTAGTCATTTGTTTTTAGGGTACATCTATTTATTTGTTTAAATTTTCATTACTAGTAAATTTTTTTGGATAATGTTAATGGGAATACCATTTTTAGAGAATACAAATTTGAAAAAAAAATAGTGAAATTTAAATTTTAAATTCATTGAATAACACGTTTGCTTAAACCATTGAATTAAGCCTTCATTTTTTTTTTGCTCACTTATACTAATCTTAAACTCTTTCATTTTTGTCACTTTTACCAATCCCTTTCTTTATAAAACAACAAAACTTATAAGTGATCACTGCTAAAGTCGATGTAAAATCATAGCCATCCATCAACTGTTTCATCTGTCTATAAATTTGTAATCATTTAAGCCAATAGTTCATCCTAAATCTATTTCTTGATAATTAATATGAAAATGGATATACTAAATTTTCTTCAAAGCCCACTAATCCTCTCACAACCTCTTATTGCTTTCTTCTCAGCTATAGCAACCATTATTACTTCATAAGATCAATTATAACTACATGAACCAAATTAAGTTTTTGGTTATTCATGATACAAGTTAACTATATAATTTGATAGTTTATATATATATATATATTGTAGTTTTTAAAAATGTAAATCATTGCACATTTCATACAAACCTTATTAGCTTTGTTATTAATTACTAGAAAATTTATAGTGCTGAATTCGGAGTTTAATTTAATTTGTTTGTGTAATTAGATGTGACATTTAGTAGGTATGGGTTCAAATTATAACACTTATAATTTCTTTTCCTAAAGTTGTGCCTCTTTTATAAAAGGAAAAAAAAAAACAATGTTATTTGAATTTAAGAGATTAATCGAACATTCAAACTTTCACGAATTTAAATTTAATAGATTAATCAAATATTCAAACTTTAATAGGTTATTAATTAGTATACTACTCAGGAAAGACAATCTAAGGTTAATAACTGTTTTTTTTTTGCTAAAAACAAATTCTAATATCTTATGCCACTTCTATGTTTATTAGAAAGTTAAAAATGAAAATAATAAAGATAATTAATAGAGAAAAAAGAAATATTAATAGAGAAAAAAGAAATATTTTGATGTGTGGTTCCATGATGAAGCAGGTGATTGTATAAGTTTATATATATATATATGTGTGTGTGTGTGTGTGTGTGTGTGTCTTTGATATCTACTTATATATATCAAAAAATATTTTCCTTATATCTTCTACCCTTTCAAACAGATATTTCCTAACTATTAAGATCTCTAGCTCGTAGATGGAGCTAGTGATAAAGTTGTATCAAAAGCAATATTTCAGTAAGACATAAGGTAAAATTAATCGAAGGTATAGCTGAACTTGCAAACATAATTTGTGAAGTCAAGTAGATCTGTTACTCGGATCACTAATGCTATTGCTGTTTTAATATAAATTGAACAATTATGTATAAATTGAGTTCTTTTCTTTGAAATTGGAGAATATTGAATATACTTACTTAAAATTGTATACAGGTTAATTAATTAGATTATAAGTTTGAGAGAAAAGAACAGAGAATTAATATGATGTCTCAACAATTAGTTTCAGCTCCAAATTTGACACTTCTTTTTTAAACTTTTAAAGCATGATTTTTTGTTTTTAGAAATCTAAAGCATGATTTTTAGTTCAATTATGTATGCAACATTAGATTCTTCATCTTCATTTAATAAAAACTAGTGAAAATATCTCCTTCACACTCTCAAAGCAAATAAGAAAAAGAAAAAGAAAAAGATGTTTCCCTTTCATCCCTTATCTCAATCTTTAATGGCATTAAATCATTATTAATTAACATATAATGGAAAAAATAGTTTTCCAAAATCAAAGGAGTTCATTTTTAAGACTCCCACATGCAATATAAGTAATAAATTATCTAGAATTTGATGTTGGATAAGAGGATCCCGCCTAAAATGATAATCAATCCAAACACAAGAATAACAGGTGAATGTGCGTGGCAGCCATTGCTAAACTCTGCTGAACTTTCCGCTCAATTAATTTTTGATTATCTAACAGTACCCTTTACTCAGCAACAAAATGTATATACACTTTTCCAATCTCACTCCTGAAAAATGTTAACCAATAATATTAAGCAAATTGAATCTAGCTAGGGTCATCCAAAACTTAATTAAAAGTTAAAAGTAAAACATAAAAATTATTAAAAGTCTGTTGAAGCTTCATGATCATGATTTATGACCCAAACCCAGAAGAAAACAATGATCAAGAAGCATAATTCTACTCCCAAAAAGCAAGGCAAAAAAAAAAAAAATACTAATCACTCTTTACGAAATTTTGTACTAAATTTGATTAGCCTGATTAGATTTGACATTTCTAGAGAGAAACCCATTAGGGTTTTGTTGAATACCATAAATTCTTGCCATAGCTAACCTTAATAGGCTTTGTCTCTTTGTAAATACTTTCAAGGAACCGATACCTCCGCTTCTTAATTGGTCTCAAAATCTCTTCTTCTTTCCCAAAAATCTCTTCAATCTTTGCAGAAGTTATCTCATCTTGACTTTGTTCAAAGAATCTCTCGCTGTTCATCTTTGCTTTAATTTTCTTCTTGTTGTTGTTGTGGACATTGCTGCTGCTGCTGCTGCTGCTGCTACTGTACTTATCTTCATCGCTAAGTTGCATAAGCTGTTGAGCCGCTGTTGCCATGTCGGAGTCCGATACCCTTTGAAACTTAACTAAAGGTTTTGATTCCGACATTGGAAAAATCAACAAAATTAAATGGAACAAGAGAGTTTGGTTAATTAATTTCCTCTCTTCTTTGTTGTTGGTTTTATTCTTTCATTTGTTTGTTTTGCTTTGGTTAATTTGTGAACGGTATTTTACTTTTATGGAGTTGTCGTTTACGTGCAGTACGAGTCCTAAAGGAAAAAAGAAGGTGCTGTGTTATTGCCATGAAGTTGGCTTGAATATCATATGGGTAAATAAAATATTTATAAAAGGTTAATTTTTCTTATATATAATTTTGACCCAATGCTCAATTTCTATTTTAATTCACAAATCTAAAAAACTGTAGTTTGTTTGATTTTTTCCACCTTTGATTTTTTTTATTAAAAAAATTAAATTAAAAACTAAAATTATAATTATTGAAAATCAAATTTTAATTTTATAAAAAATCATAATAAATGAATTATTTAAAATAAATCTCATATTTTTCATAGTTCTTATTTCAACTCTATTTTTCATTATGCAAGAAAAACACCTTTAAAAGCTCGTCTTTTTTTGGCCAATAAAAAAAAAAAAAACTTGTCCTTAACTTCTTGTTACTTTGCTTGTAATCTTGGTCTTCTCAAAATGAGGAGGTTGGGAATGTTAAGCGGGACCCTTTCAAAATTTTGACCAATGTAGATGTAATTTGCAAGTTGTTTCTTGAACCATGATATTGGTTGATTGTTCTTGGTCAATGTTTTGATTGGAAAATTTTTGACCTTTGATAATGAGTTTGTCAAAGTTGTGGATGATTTTTATTGGTGTTCATGTGTTTATATTGCCTTAATTACTTTTGTCTATAGAATGGAACATGACTCGTTAAAAATGAAAAATATAGTTTATGATGTAAATTCAAGGAAATATTGACCCAACATTTTTCCATAGGCGACTTAAAATTCTTTTTTTTGTAGACATCATATTTTGTTTGGGGATTTTTTGAAATTTATTGGATTTTAAATTTTAATTTTGATTGTATAATTAGACCTTAATTGAAAGAGTAAATTTTGGTCAGAAAGATTAAGCTCTAAATTTTATTTGTATTTTAATTTTTTTAGTTTGATTCTTTTGGTTTAATTTTTTTTTTTTTAGTTAAAAGAGTCAAAGTCAATTGGTAAAAAAATAAAAAAATTTGAGATTTTGCATGAAAAATCTTAGATTCAATTCAACTTTCGGATTTTATCTCAAATTTTAACTTTAATGGTTGAATAATATTAGAAATAGGGAAGATTACACAGAGAATAAATTATAGAGAGAAATACTAGATTTGGTTGAATTAATTTCTTTCAAATCGAAAGAGATTCAATCCCTATATAAGAACTTTGAATTTAAGATAAAAAAGGAGGCCTAATAATAATTGATTTCAAAATCAAATAGATGTCATTGAAAAAAGAGAAAATTTGGGTAAAATTTAGAATCAATAAGGAAGAAGCAATCAAGCAAAAAAATTTTGCTAGAAGATCTAATTGGAATTTTTGGATGGAAGGCTAAAATTTATAATAAGAAATATTAGTTTTTAAAAGTTAAAAAATTTTTGGAATTCATGATCCATTGAGGTAATGTTTGCTTTTTTTATGATTTTTGCATAATTTTTATAATATTTAATTGCTTACTCTTATTTTTATATTTATTGCATTATATATATTTTTGCATGAATTTGCATGACTAATATTATCTTTGCATCATAATTTATTTGCCTAATATATTTGTTTGCATGATTAATATATTTATTTGTGTGATTTATTAATATATTTGCATGATTATTAATATATTTATTTGTATGATTACATTTAATTTGATTGCATGATTACTAATATATTTAATTGTTTAATTATTAATATATTTATTTTGCATTTTTTTGCATGATTTATGTATTATTAGTTGCATGATTATTTAGTTAATTGCATGTTTATTTGCATGATTATTAATATTATTATTTACATGATTATATATTTGATTGCATGTCTAATTGTATGATTATTAATTTATTTATTTGTGTAATTGCATGGTTTATATATTTTTATTTGCATGATTATATATTTAATTACATGATTATTAATTTATTTTTTTGTGTGATTGTATGATTATTAATATATTTATTTGCATATTTATTTATTTAATATTATTATTTATATTTATTGCATGGTATGATCTTATATGTTATTGCATGATTCATATTATGAATGATATTTAATTGCATGTTTCTATATTTATTGTGTGCACAATTGCATGATTATGTATTATTTCTAATATATTTGTGTGATTATATTTGATTTCATGATTACATATTTGCATGAATGGCTATTAATATATTTGCATGGTATTTTATATTATTGCTTGATAATATATTTCATGATATTATATATTTACATGATTGTTATTATTGCATGAATATTTTAGCAAATTTAGGCATGATATTATTACATGATATTTGGTATAATTTATAGTATTATAGTTGTATGATAATTTTTGCATGGTATGATTTAATATTTATTACATGGTTGCTTGATTGCTTAATATTTGATAGAATTTTTGTATCACCATGTTTTGTAAATAAATAAAAGGATTGGAATAGATTTATTTGCATGATAAAACTATTTTTGATAAGGCTTAGGTAAAATAACACATAATTAACTTAGTATTAATTTTGCTCATAAAGGGGTGCTAATACCTTCCTTGCATGTAATTGACTCCCAAACTTTAGTTATGATGATGTAGACCAACACTTATTCCTTTTAGGAACCCTTACTTTACACTTAGGACAACCTTAAAAATGATGGATTCACATAGGTAACCAATCACACCTAGATAAAAAAAATTGATGGCAACTTTATGATTTTTGTGTCTAATGGATAGGTTTTTCCAACCTAGACGTTATAATAGTTTGGTGACTCCATTTAGGATATTAGAGAGTTAAGCTGTTAGTTAGTTATGTGTGGGCTTAAATCTTACTTTGATAGTTTTTATTATGTAATTATTTATGATTTTCATATAGACTAACCTATTTGTTTATGATTTCTTATTTGTTTGTTTTGCAGATATTATTTATTCACACCTATTTATTTGATTATTCGACATGTATCTTTACATACACCACACTTGCATCATGCATAAGCTTTATACCCTGATTTTATCCTTTATTAAGAGGGAGTAAGTACCTACACTCTCATGAGGTAATAACTTTCTTATGAGCTAGTGAAAACTCTCACTCAAATTAAATGTTTTCTGTTTGAGCCTATAATGGTGAGTAAAGATTGGGGTGCCCTAGTAGTCTATAATGGACAATGATGTAAGAAGAATTTTGAGAGCCTTTAGACTGTCAAGCCTTTGAATCCAACATATACATGAACCCTAGGGATCCAAATTTAGCTTAGAGCCCTGTTTTCCTTTTAATTCAAAAAAAATAAATAAATAGGACACATGATAGGACAGTTATTATTCTTGTAAATTTATGTTATTCTTTGTATATATTTTTGCATACTAACCTTTTATATTTTGTTATTCCTTCTATATATTATATTATGTTAACTAACCTTTTTTTCTCTACTTTTTTGTGCATACATGCATCATTAGATTTACATAAGGAGTGATCACCCCAAAACAATCTTAACAAAAAGAATCTTAATTACATCCATAAAGAGCCTATCAAAGTTTCCTATGTGCTTGAGCATGAAGTTCGAGGAAGCTCAGCTTAAAGGAGATGATTGTTTGCCAACCAATTATGTAACTATTCTGCCTGCTAAAATCCATCTTAATCTCAAACGAAATGATCTTAACCATTTGATTAGTATTTGAAATCAATAGAGTGTCAGTGCCAATGAGACTTTCCAAAAAAAATTTAGGGACCTTGCATTACTTCTTTCAGTCCCTATTGATGATCAACTTATTAAGGCCATGGTTCAGTTTTGAGACCGTTCATATTGCTGCTTCATGTTCACTGAGATTGACATGGTGTCAACTATTGAAGAATATTCAACTTTCCTTTCGCTTGGATCTCCCTAATCCTAATAAGGTATATTGAAAAAATAAAAAGATTAGTTATCGAAAAAGGTTGCTCAAATTATAGTTGTAGATGTCCAAACTATCGATAATTAGGTAAAAGAAAAATATGAAAGTGTTGTTATTCCTTAGTCTATTGTTCGTGACTTTATATTGATGTTGCAGTAGTGGATTTCTTTGATCAACTTGATTACCATATCAACCCTATTCTGACAATTTTGAATAAGACTATTAGATCTTTAAATCATTGTCGTCGAAATAGAAAGGTCGTTTTGCTGGATATGCCCAATTATTAACCATTTGGATGAAAAGTCATAAAAATAATGATGGTAAATTTGCAAGCTATATTTCACTACAAGGAATTTTATGAAAATGAATGGCCTTCATAAAACTCTAAAGAAGCATGGATCTTATTTCTACACAAGCTTACTAGTCAATATGTGATATGAAGAGCTTTTTGGATACCTTATGGACCAGTGTTGTATGGTTGTGAAGATAATATTTGGGTTACTCTTTTAAGCCTTTGGGATATAGTGAGTTATTCTCCTGTCATGGTGTAAAGATAATATGGCTATGGACAATTTATCTGAGCCACTTCTAGACTTAGTAAAATGAAATTCTCATATGTTAAAATTAATGGTCCATAAAGATAGCCAAAAACTTACAAGCTTGGAATTTACCTCAAAGGAAAGATCGAAGGAGATGCTTAAATAAGGTTACCCTTGAATACTTTGTGTGGTACATTAGGCAAAGTAAAGACATTAAAATCCTTAAAAAAATAACTCCAAATGGCCCAATAAAATCATCACCTCATGATCCCCTGTTGGTAGTGAAAACCATTAAAAGAAAGCTCCAAGTTGAAAAAGATGAATTAGAGCTTGAAAATAAAAAGCTAAAAAGAGAGTTAGAAGAAAAAATGGTAAAAAAGTTTAAACATTTAGACAAAAAAGCGATGAAATGAATAATCTTTTTTTTAATCTCAACATCACACAGCCATTCACCAATCATGAGTTAGCCCAACTTTTGAATGAAAATGGACAAGTGCAAGCAAAAATGCAAGAAAAAGACGAAGCATTCACTGAAGCACAAAAGCACATCTAAATGCTTAATGGTGTAGTGGTCACAATTGAAATAAAAATGGGTGTTGTGAATGAAAAATGTGAACAAGCTAATGAAGCATATGTGAGAAAGCATAATCAATTAGAATGCTTACTTGACCAAATCACTATGGCTACCTATAAAGCCAAGGACATGGTAGAAAAAGTTGAAGAATGGAAGATAAAGGTACCACCAGTGAAAACAAATGACCAAGAGCTGTTAGCTTTCCTTAATGTAGTACAAGGCCAATATTGACAAATTAAGGATTTTTTTCCACAATAAACTTTAGACTTTTCATGGATGTAATATTGGATTTGGTTAGAAATAACTTTCAATTCAACAAAAATTTTCTTTGTTAATAATTGTTACGTGATAAATCCTCCTTATTGCATTCATGTATTGCATTCATGTATTCATGCATTCATACATAAACATTTCTTCAAAGTGCATAATAATAAGTCATCTTAATTCTTAAAAATTATGAAAAATCAAGGTTCAAGGTAGCTTAATCTTAAAAAAAATCTAAGGCGCTACAATACTAGATATCAAGTAAGGATTATGGAAGAAGAAAACACATTTCGCCTCTAAAAACTAGGAAAAACACAAGAAAAACTGAAAGGACAGTTGGAAACTATTATCGAATTGTTAAAAAATAAGAGCTAAAGAAAGAAAGTGGTGAAAAATGTAGTGATACAAAATGAAACTGATCAATTATACCCTCATAGCTTTAATCCATATTTAGCCCATACATCTTAAGGGGTTCAACATCAAATGTCATTCACTACAAGTTATCTTTATGTGCAAATTTATTATCTTTATGTGCAAATTGATATGCTGACAACTACCGCTCATACTCTATTTCTTTTATTTTTGACATCAAAACATTTGATCCTGCACAAATTTCAAATCTTAGTGATCTCATGGAACAAGAAAAGTTGAAGATAAGCCCTGTTGAAGTTAAAAAAAACTCTGGTTCTTAAAAAATAGATATCATAAAAGAGAGGCTTAGAGTCATTGAAGGAACAAACTTTTATGGGTCAATGGCTACTACTAGATTATGTCTGGTTCTTGATGCCGTGATTCCACCAAAGTTTAAAGTGTCTGAGTTCAAAAAGTATGATGGGACCAAATGTCAAATTACACATATTACGATGTATTATCATATATGCTCACAATGAAAAGTTGTTCAT